GTACAAACAGACAATTATTTAACTGCAATACAAGACCACTAGGTAGAGATAAACTATAGGTTCCGACGGCTAATGCATTTACGAGTGCGCCATTGCCGACTTTTAGTTGTATCTCTCCCTCCGTCAATTGTCTACGTTCATGCAGATCCTGCATAGAAGTACAGATGTGAGAACCACATCCAGTATCCATCACCCAAGAAGTGATATCAGACATATTGACTTCAATAACGAAGATTCCTGAGGTTTGAGGTTTCTTTCCCTCTTTCCTCTTTGCCAGTAATTTTGCACAGTTGCGCCTCCAGTGGCCCTTTTTGCCACAATAATAGCATACAGCAGACTTCTTCTTAGCTCCTTCTTTGGGTTTCAACGAAGAGGAGTTGGACGCTGGCTTGGGTTTCTTAGAACCCTTGCGCTTGGTCCCGGCCGGCGAATGTGGCCCATTCTTCTTCGCAATAGTACTGCCCTCTACCATCAGGACAGACTTACCCTTGCCCTTTCCTAGACTCTCCTCAGTAGTTGTGAGGAATTTCAGTAGCTCAGGCATAGTCATCTCTAGTTTGTTCATGTAGAAGTTCACTACAGTTTGACTATACTCACCTGGTAATGATCCCAAGATGAGATCAGTTGCCAGCATAGGGTGCAACGGGGCGTCCAGTTTTTCAAGAGTTTCGATCTGACCGATCATCTTGAGAACGTGGGGACCAACTGGGTTACCCGTTGCCAGCTTACTGGAAAACAGAGTCGTAGAGATTTTGAAACGCTCATGTCTAGCCTGGCCTTGGTATAGACCTTTCAAGGGACTCATCATAAGATGAGCTTCCATGTCCTTATGGAGCCTTTGGAGCTCCGGAGTCATGGTGGCTAGCATGAGACATCTCACATCACGTGCGTCATCTTCATACTTCTTGTACGAAGTAATTTCTGCAGCACGGGCGTTCGCTTCAGGAGCTTTGGGAGGCTCAGAGGTAAGGACGTAGAGCTTTTTCTCGCATTCGAGAACAATCTTAAG